AAACAAGGCCTAAAGGCCCCGTTTGATGGGCTGGGTTGGACTGATTAGGATGGGCTGAAGCATTGAATTGGGCTGGCTAGACTTTGAATCCAGTCCTATTCATTTTTAACGGGTTGACCCGTTAACGACCCGAAACCCGCTAAAACGACCCGTTTGCCAGCTCTACTCTACACCAGGACCAACTTCAGATTCTATTACTAACCATGTAGCACCCGAGTTCAATTACCTTAGGCGCTGAAGGAAATTGTAATTCTCTGAGCTTCATTAATTAAAAAGGATTAAAATCAAGTTTATATACATTATAATAAGATAGCTATAATGTAAGATTAGTTATGACAGCTCTAACAAGCTTTGACTAGTACAACTAACAAATCTGAATTCTCTACAAGATTCTGGAAATTGCTGACTTACAATTACAACTAATACAACAGTTGTTTCTAACCTTGATTTTGTGTCATTTTATGTGAACACAAAATCAAGCTAGATATCTAACGAGAAATTATGCTCAACCACATCATGCATGAATTATTATCAACAGGGTCAATCTAAATTGATAAAAAAAAAAACTAAACTAAATCATTTTAATTTTATAGTGTGTATGTTTAGTTGACTAATATTGACTATATAGTGCAAAGCTTTGTTGGTTGTCAAGTCATTTAGAAATTGATAAATATTGATCCTTCTTGCACTCTCACTCAAGATTCAATTGTGAGAGATTTTCTCACATACACTGTCAAGGTGTCACGGGGATTCGAACTTGAGGTCAATGATATGCAGCTTTTTTAAATCTTAATCTAATCCATAATCTAATCCACAAATATACTGTTATTTGAACGATCCATATCAAATCAAAACACCTTGCTTCAATTTTGTTCTGTTTATGATGGGCCTTCCATGGCTTTCTTTCCCAGTTGGGTTGTTGGAGCGTCCATTAGTACCCTTCTGTTCCGCCGCAACGGAAGTTGTCGGGAGTTGCTTTCCAAATAATTTTCTTTGTCATTGTGAAGATGCTGACCACGTAACTCCAACCGTTGAATGCTTTCTCTCCCTCTCTTTGACGGGAGGTGGATCTGCTGTCCCCAAATTCCGTGTCCCCTTCATGTACCCCTTATAAATTTTTGACATCTATTCTCTCACCTAACAGATCCTAACATTGTTAACTCATATAAACAATAAAATAAAAAGTAAATATTCTTAACCATTTGAGATACGTCTTGCGGTCAAAACGTCCTTAGGTTATGATAAAATTCGATTAAAATCGAGCCACATTGGCCAAATGATTAAACTTATGTCCTTAGGCTATTTTACATGTTTGTTTTGTTAATAGATAGTAGGGGTGGGCATTTAAATCGAAAAACAGAGCCGAATTAAGTCGAAAAAAACAAGAAAAAAATTTGGGTGGACCAAAAATCAAACCAAACCAATTTGGTCCGATTCTTTTCTTTTAGTGAAAAAACTGAATCCATTGTGTATTTTTATTTTTTCAATAAAATATTTAATTCCAATGCTAAATTTCTAAGCCCATATAACTAATCTTTCCCTAAACGCAACTCCAAATCACCTCTCTTTTCTAAGCCAAATCACCTCCCTTTGCATGAAATTGGGTCATTTGTGAATTTTTAAGCCCAAAATATAAAATTTTAGTTGGTTTTGTTAAAAAAAAATTCAAAAAATTCAAATATTCAAAGAAAAAGAAAAAAGATTCTGGTCCAAAACCCAAAAAACCAAAACTGAACCGATTTATGGGCAAATTAGACTGAAATGGTTTTAAATATTTTTTTTATTAAAATAGGACCGAATCTGAATGAATAGTGCCTATTCTGATTCCAATTTGAGGTGAGAACCGGACCGTACTCACCCCTAACGGACATTGGATTAAACTTATGATTTCTTTCATTAGTAAGTAGAAATGTTACTAAACCAAAAACTAGTTGGTGGCTCTTTTTACGACTATCACATAACCTACTCCATAATCCTTTGGTTCCAGGATTTATTGGTTGAAAAAATTAGTAACTACAAATTCACCCGAAAATTTAATCAGTACACCCGGGCTCAAAAAAAGAAAGAACAACACATAAAACACTCACAGCTACTCTGAACTCTGAAGCCAAAGAGACGGATGGGGCAGACGCCATAGGAGTGCATGGTGTCAGAATAGCAATACTAAATAGAGATTTAACAGAGAGAAGCAGAAAATCTTAGAAGAAGAACTGATGTATTTCATTCATTGATTATTGAACACAGTACAGTGATGGTTTTTATACTAGCTTATCAAAGCTTTGTGTACACGTTTCTAACCTTCTAACCTCTCTAACTTCTCTAACAGAATGCTAACTGTTTTGCTAAAACCTGCCTAACAGTCTTAACAACTCTCTTCTTCAATCTTCTGACATGTGGCAGAGTGAGGACCGTTGATATCTTTACATGCCCCCTCAATCTCATGCTTGGAGGAGCCAAGCATGAGATTGGAACAATGATGCTGGAATAAAGGGATAGACAGCCCCTTAGTGAGAATGTCAACAAATTGTTCCGCGGATGAGACATGTTGCACAAGTAAATCACCTCGAATGACTCGTTCTCTGACAAAATGATAATCAATCTGGAGATGTTTCATTCGGGAATGAAACACCGGGTTGGAAGAGAGAGCAATAGCAGAGATATTATCACAATGAATTAAAGGAGGTACATGTAAGGAGACGTGCAGATCACAGAACAACTGTCTGATCCATGCAAGTTCAGCAGCAGCAATAGCCAAAGCCCTATATTCTGCCTCAGTGGACGAACGAGAGACAGTATGTTGCTTCTTAGAAGCCCAAGAAATAGGACTAGAGCCTAAGTAAACAATAAATCCCGAAACAGATCTGCGATCATTAGGATCCCCAGCCCAGTCAGCATCACTATAAGCGTGCAGATGAAGAAGACCAGGCTTAAACCAAATGCCAAAATCAAGAGTTCCTTTCAAATACCTCAGGATTCTCTTAACTGCCACAACATGAGATTCCATGGGATTATGCATAAATTGACAAGCTTGATTCACTGAGAAGGCAATATCTGGCCTTGTGAAAGTGAGGTACTGCAGAGCACCAACAATGCTTCGATACTGCTCTGGATGAGCATAAGGTTTGCCATCATCTTTCAACAGTCTGTGATAAGGGAGACAAGGAGTAGGACAAACTAATCGAACCGTGGTTGGTTTAACTACCGGACTGAAAGTTTCATAATAATCAATACCCTCCTCTTGACTAAATCCCTTAGCAACCAGGCGAGCCTTATGCCTAGCTATAGAACCATCTGCATTCTTCTTGATCCTATAAACCCATTTACAGCCAACAAGATTCTTATGAGCTGGGAGAGGAACCAAATCCCAAGTACCTTGAGCATGAAGAGCCTCAATTTCCTCCCTCATTGCAGATTGCCATTCTGGTGATTGAGAGGCAGCCTTGAAAGAACTCGGCTCAATTGTAGACAAATCAACAGATGTAGAAGCAGAAAAAGCCTTTTGTTTGGAGATTCCATTCTTACACCTTGTTGTCATAGGATGCAGATTTATAGGTGGCAGAGGTAAGATAACACAAAGATCTTCAGGCTGAAAATCAGGATCCACAGGGAGAGGAGACTGTGTAGCAGATTGTGGAGCAGAAGGAGAAGCAGTCAAAGATGCAGTGGCTTCAGAGATGGGTGGAGAAGGTGAGGAAATGGAAAGAGAAGGGATAGGTGATAAGACAGTATTAGTGAATGAAATAGATGGAGGAGGAGAAGAGGAAGTGAGAGACTGAGATGAAGAAACATTGACTGGATGGGCAGATGTGAATGGAAAAACAGTTTCATCAAATAGAACATGTCGAGTGACAAACAGTCTATTGGTAGTGAGAGAAAAACAAATATAGCCTTTATATTGTCCTGCATAGCCTAGAAAGACACAAGTAGAAGTTTTAGGCTGAAGTTTGTTTGTATTATAAGGCTTGAGCAAAGGAAAGCAAGCACAACCAAATACCCTTAGATGAGTAATGTCTGGTGTAGATCCAAACAATAAGAAGTAAGGAGATTTGAAATGAAGAGTTTTACATGGCATTCTGTTGATCAAGTAGACTGAAGTAGCACAAGCATGAAACCAGAATTTTGGGGGTAGATGAGCAGTTTGCAATAAAGTGATAGCAGTCTCTAAGATGTGTCTGTGTTTTCTCTCGGCTAAACCATTTTGTTCAGGTGTATAGGGACAAGATTTATGATGAATGATACCTCTAGCAAGAAGATAATGCTGAAATTTATGACTAAGATACTCACCACCTCCATCACTTTGAAAAACTTTAAGAGAAGCAGAGAACTGAGTGACTAAGTAAGCATGAAAATTAACAAAAATGGAGAAAACTTCAGCTTTATTGATCATTGGAAATATCCAAGTAAATCGAGTACACTCATCTACAAAGCTAACATAATATTTGAACCCCTCAACAGATATTGTTGGAGAAGGACCCCACACATCACTATGAATCACTTCTAAAGGGTTTACAGATTTTGCTGCTGGATAATGAAAAGGAAGTTTAGCTAATTTGCCTTCTAAACAATGATGACAGACAGATTGGACTTTATCTGAAGAAAAAGGAACCTGTGATTGTCGTAAAAGAGCAGTAGTAATAATATTGGAGGGATGACCAAATCGCTTGTGCCACAAACTGGTATTTAATGGATGTCCAAGAAAGCAGAAATGTCGTTTGACGAGAGAAGCAGCTGGAGTGGGATGAGGTTGTGAAGGAAAGAAAGGAATAGAATATAGGCCAGCTCTACACAGTCCCTTGAGAAGAACACTCCCCGTGAGTTTGTCTTGAATCCAAAAGCCAAAGGCATCACATATAAATCTGCAGTTATTGTCTTTACATAACCGATGCACTGAAAGCAAATGTTGAGATATCCTTGGCACATGTAAAACTTTTGATAATTGTAAAGAACAATGAGGAGTATTCAAGGAAGAAGAGCCAATACTAGAAATATTCAAACCTGAACCCCCTGCAGTGGTGATTGTCTCATTTCCAGAGAAAGGGGTAGCAAGACTAAGCTGAGACAAATCAGAAGTCATATGGGCCGTTGCTCCAGTATCAGCTACCCAAAATTGCTCAGTTGATGAGGAAGGAGAACAATTGGCATGCATTGCAGTAAGATTGGATGAAGGAGGTTTGCCTTGATAGGAAAAATTGCCCCTGTGGTAACACTGAACAGCAGTGTGGCCATATTTCCAACAAATTTGGCATTGAACAGAGGAATTATGACCTGTGAATTGCTGATGGCGTTGATGACAATCAGCAGCTAGATGACCTTTCTTGTTGCATATTTGAGAAATTGGAATATCAGTACCCGAACCAAGGATGCCAGGGCCAGAATTAGGTGGAGCTTGATACGGTCTTGGACCAGATGAAAACTGATGCCGAGGTCTGCCTCTTTCTCTATAGAATGAACCTCTATTAGGGCCAGAGTGAAAACCACCATTATGTGAAAAAGAGCCACCATTAGAGCTAGAGTGGAAACCTCCATTGACACCACTATTGACACCACCATTGTGGCCAGATGAAATAGAAGATGGGACAGATGTGGAAGTGTCAGCAAGAACAAGGGATTTTCCTTTGAATGATTGATTATTCGCCATCATCGCAGAGGCAAAAGGAGTGGCAGAGGTAGTATGCTCAAGAATAGCCTCTTCAGCAAGCAACTGAGATCTAAAATCTTTGAGTGAGAGCACATTTTCCCTGCCTCGAACCATACACCGAAACGTATTATATTCTGGGGGAAGACCATTAAGAGCCAAGATCACAATATCATCATCATCAAAGGAAACCCCAGCAGCAGCAAGATGATCTCTGGCATCTTTTATCTTTTGCAAGTATTGAGAGACTGGTTCAGCACCCTTCTTGATATTCTGAAGCTCACTTTTCATCTGAAAAATCCTAGCTTTGGTAACAGTAGAGAATCTGTCCTTCAACTGAACCCACATATCATGAGAACTAGTACACCCAATGACATATGAGATTGCAGTAGAAGAAAGGGTTGCAATTAGCAATTGCATCAAGGCACGATCATGCATTTTCCACACTGTATAAGCATCAGTTTCTACACCTTCAACATCAGAATTTTCATCAAAACGAGCAGGACACAGCCGGGAACCATCAACAAACCCCAATAAGCCATGACCTTCAAGAAGAAGCTGCATCTGAAAATTCCATGTGAGGTAATTTGTATCATCAAGCTTAACTGTCACAGAAGCAGAGACAATGGGAATTAAGGTAGTAATCGGAGATTGAACAATCTGAAGTTGAGTAGCAGTCACCATGATGAGTATTTAGGGAGATAATATCTTGAGAGGAAAAGAAATGGGCAGTAGAACAAGCAGAAGATTCTGTGAGGCAAAAGAACAAGCAGTTGGTAGGCAGAGCAAAAAACTACGAAAATATTGAGAAAGAAGAGAGAAAGAAGCCCCGAGAATTGAACAAAGAAGAAGAGGAGACGATACAGACAGAAGAACAGAGATTGCAGGCAAAGAAGAGGAATGCGGAAGCAAAGAAGCACAAGATCGTACTATGGCTCTGATACCATGTCAGAATAGCAATACTAAACAGAGATTTAACAGAGAGAAGCAGAAAATCTTAGAAGAAGAACTGATGTATTTCATTCATTGATTATTCAACACAGTACAGTGATGGTTTTTATACTAGCTTATCAAAGCTTTGTGTACACGTTTCTAACCTTCTAACCTCTCTAACTTCTCTAACAGAATGCTAACTCTTTTGCTAAAACCTGCCTAACCGTCTTAACAACTCTCTTCTTCAATCTTCTGACATGTGGCAGAGTGAGGACCGTTGATATCTTTACACATGGAAGTCCATTAGTCTTCAGAACACTGCATTATGGAAGATTGGATTCTGAAACCCCATTGTCAATTTAAGGTATGTATCCTGATTCCTATTAAACCTTGCAGACTTGGCTTGAAGCACCTATAAGTTTGTCTATTGGGCTGGTTAGAAATGTTAAAATAATCTAGACTTCATTAATAGTCGGCTGGTAAAAATTGTAATAGTTGGCTGTTAGTAGTTGTGGGTTGAATTAATGGTGTGGTAGAAGTTAGTTGAATTAACTATGTTTGGTTTTAGTTGTGTTGTTTTAATGTATTAGGTCGGCAGTGGCTATTATATAAAGCCACCCCTTTCTCTTCATTTTGTATTAAGCAAGGAACATCATCATTCTCTAAAACAGTGTCCCACTACTTTCTGTCTTTTGATTATCACAAGAGAACAAGTTTCTTCTCTTACCTATTATTACTCCCACATAACCGTACCCACCACCAATAATATCATTCCTTTATTCCATCAAGAAAATCCCCAAATTTTCAGTTACCATGTAAACCACTGCCCGAATTTGTATATTGGTTGATGCCATTAATATATTAATATTAGTGCTTGCCTCAACAACTAGCTCTATGTGGAAAAATAACATTAAAGAACTCTGTTTTCTTTTTGGTTGAAACATTATGTAAGAAATGGTTGGCCTCACAATCACAATCAGAATCCTACACACACAGAGAGACATTGGTATGGAGGGGATTGCAAGTTAAAGATCAAATCTTGAAGACTAGAATGGCACCAATGGAGTAGTACTTATTTTGGGTTTCAATTTCTTCTGTTATTCTCTGCAAGCTTGTGATATTTTCTTCTGGGCCCAAGTTTAAGTTCATTGAGTGCTGAAGGTAGCAACTATTCGGGTGGTAACAGAATGCTTATCAGAAACCCATCTCAAATATCCCTCAGCAAATGGGACACCGTCCTTCCCAGCATCGTCGTGTGCGTTGAACTCGACATGGTAGGTAATTTTCTGGTTAACCTCTGTGAATGTGAGCACCTGAGGATTTACACTCATGCCCACTTTAGGTGGTACTACAAGAGCCAAGTTGTAAGTTGAATTAGCTGGGCCAACATTTGTCACCGTTCTTGTGTAATACTGAGTCCGAGTCTCTGAGGACCCGGTTTTGATAGAAAATGTAGGATAATTTAGCTGTGCTTCTGGTACGGCTCCTACTTGAGAGCAGTTCACTGTTTGTTGGGTGATGACCTGTATCTGCTCGTCTGTGTAATTCAAACCACACAAGTAAGGAATGTAATCCTCTGGTTGTATGTCGTAGATGAGCCCTGGGTCATTTGCTTTTGAAGGGTTAACATGGCCTGCACCAAGGGCAAAGATATCTGCTGGAAAAAGTGTTTGGTCAACAATGGCAGAGCCTGCGAGGTTTTCTACTTCAGCGGTTGTCATGATTGCTGACTTAATGGCAGCTGGTGACCAGTCAGGGTGGGAGCTTTTGAGCAAGGCTGCAATGCCACTTAAGTGAGGGCATGACATTGAGGTACCTGAAATCATGTTAAATGTTGCCTTGCCTTCTGTTCCATTGTCCACAGAAACAGGCCATGCAGCTAGGATGCTAACACCGGGACCAATGATGTCAGGCTTCAAAATTCCAGGGCTTTTAATGCTTGGTCCTCTTGATGAGAAGGAAGCAACCTTGGGAGCAAGTGGATCTCCGATGACAGTACCTTTAAACAAGATTGTGGCTGTAGGTGTTGAGGTTGAGTTTATAAAGGTTGCACGAGATTATGGTTATTCAAGAGGAAGAGGAGATTATGGTTATCCAAGAGGAAGACGAGATTATGGTTTTCCAAGAGGAAGAGGAGATTATGGTGGTTATTCAAGAGGAAGAGGAAGAGAACAAGGTTCCTCTTTTTCTAATATTCAGTGCTACAATTGCAAGCAATATGGGCACATCAAGTCAACATGCAAAAACAAAACAAATGGAGGAGCCGAATCAAGCTTTGTGCATGAAAAAGCTTTTGAAAGGGAAAATGATGCTGTGGTTTTACTTGCATGTGCAGCTGCCAAAGAAGGAAAAGTTTGTGCAGAAAAATGGTATCTTGACAGTGGATGTAGTAATCATATGACAGGCAACAAAAGTGCATTTGTCAATTTCAAGCATACCAACAACTCTGAAGTAAGGATTGGTGATGGTGGAAAGCTAGTGGCCAAAGGATGTGGAGATATTCTTTTTCTGTCCAAGTCTGGAGAACAAAAAAGAATCTTTGATGTGTTATATGTTCCAGATTTAAATTACAATCTCCTTAGTGTGGGGCAACTTCTTCGTAAAGGCCATAATATTCAGTTCAGGGAAGACCAGTGTGTAATTAGAGACAAGTACAACTCTCTAATTACAAAGGTGCAGATGTCAGGAGACAATATGTTTTCTCTGAACATAAAGTATGAATCTTTTGCTTGCTTAAGTGCACTTATCAAGGATTCCTCATGGTTGTGGCATCTACGCTATGGGCATTTGAGTTTCAGCACACTATCATTGATGGGGAAACAACATATGGTACGAGGACTACCAACTATACAGCATCAAACACAAGTTTGTGAAGCATGTGTGCTGGGAAAACATCAGAGAAATTCGTTTCCTACAGCGTGGCCTACCAACTATACAGCATCAAACACAAGTTTGTGAAGCATGTGTGCTGGGAAAACATCAGAGAAATTCGTTTCCTACAGGAAATTCTTGGAGAGCATCCCATCCTCTTGAGCTGGTGCACTCAGATGTATGCGGGCCCATGAACACAACATCAACAGGAGGTAACCGCTACTTTCTTACATTCATTGATGATTATAGCAGAAAGACATGGGTCTATTTTCTCAAATATAAATCAGAGGTGTTTGACCACTTTAAAGTTTTCAAAGCTTTGGCTGAGAAGCAAAGTGGATTTGCATTGAAAACCTTGCGGTCTGATCAAGGTGGAGAATTCTCATCCAACGTGTTCGAAAATTTTCTAAAAGAAAATGGGATTAAGCATCAGTTTACAGCTCAGTACACCCCACAGCAAAATGGTGTGGCCGAGAGAAAAAATAAGACCATTATGGAATTGGCAAGAAGCATGTTGAAGGCAAAAGCAATGCCTAATCGTTTTTGGGCAGAAGCAGTGACATGTGTTGTATATCTCTTGAACCGTGCATCGTCTAATAGTGTGGAAGGCAAGACTCCTCAAGAGGCTTGGAGTGGCCTCAAGCCATGTATTAGTCACTTAAGAATATTTGGCAGCATTGCTTATTCTCATATTCCTGATGAAACAAGGAGAAAATTGGATGACAAATCAGAAAAGTGCATTCTTGTTGGCTATAGCAAAAAGGCCAAGGCATATAAGTTGTTTAATCCATTGACTAACAAGATTATTGTTAGTCGTGATGTCAAGTTCAATGAAGAAGAAGCATGGAATTTGAGTGAAGTTGAAAAACAAAGTCCATCATTGTTGTTAATTATTATGTTAACTCGCAATTGTACGGGGCAATTAGTAGTATAGCAAGACAAGTACGAGGTCGTACCCACGAAGACTGAGAAGTTCAAATTAGTTATGTACGTAGATTACCGAATTCAAGAAGCTAGGAAGTTAAGTCTAAAACAGAAATTAAAGTGAGAGTGATTGTGATTGTGAAAGGAAGTGAGCAAACTGAAATTGCAAATGAAAGCAAATAAACAAGTGTAACAAAGAGTGGTTTTAAGAGTTGGAAAACAGATTTGGAGACTAGGGCATTCGAATCACCATAACAATTCAATTCTGGGTTATATGGAGTCAAGTAACAAGTCTAATTCAGATTCAAAGATTGATTCTAGCTAAAGTATGATTAGGCCATGGTGTTTGGTCCTAACCTTGTGTTCCTAATTCCCTAATTTGATCATTTGTTGTCTAACCTAAAATTAAGCATTAGGAACCCATTAAGCATAGAAGAACAATTTAAACAACCAAGCATGTATCTAATCCCTGTTGTCGAATGTCCATACATACTCTTCCTATTCATAGTTCAATTCGAATTAAAGCATGGTGTATACTCTTAATTCAAACCAAGATAGCTAACACGCAAGCCCAAATGGTGATCAATCATTCAAACAAGCATATTAACTTATAAGCATAATGAATAAGAACATGAATCATGAATCAAACTTGAAACTCCAAACTTATAAACCCAGAACATTCATGTTAGGTTACATCGAAGCCCTAGTTATGAATGCCATAAGAGTAGAAAAACCCTTTTCTGAAGATCTTGTGGTGT